CGAGGTGGCCCGTGGGCGCCTGGAGAAGCGCAATTCGGACCTCCTGCTCTTGGTGGACACGCATAAGAAGCAGATCGACCAGAAGGAGGCCGACTACGGCCGCCTCAGCAGCCGGCTGCAGGCCAGGGAGGGCCTGGGGAAGAGATGCGAGGATGACAAGGTAAGGTCGAGCCCTTTCCTCGGCCCTCGTCGAGTTTTTCCTTCTCCTCTCCCGGATGAGGTGCTCAGATGAGCCCAGCTGTGGTTGCTGTGTGCCTCCAGCGTGGTAGCGCTAGAAGCTCCCCAGCCCCCAGCAGCCCCGTTTGTTGTCAGACTTTGCCGGTATCGGCGCCACATTCTCCCCTCGCTTCCAGAGAGACTGGCTGTGTGAGTTCTAGTTCTCCAGAGTGGCCTGTGTGTGTGTGTGTGTGTGTGTGTGTGTGTGGATGCCACGCCGCCTTTTCTGTAGGAGCTCAGCTGCTGAGCTGGCAGCGGTAATCACCTGGCTTGTGTGGCCGCCTTACGTTCCCCGGGCACACAAATCTGCAGACTGCCAGGTATGATGGTGTGGGCATTGTCTCATCCTCAGTCTGTGCAGGCTGATCAATATTAATTTCTTTATTCCAGAATGGGGCCTCCCTCCCTTCCCTTTTGGTGCTCAATATACATTTTGAAACAGTATGACTTTTAGAATCTCTGTAAGTCGATGCGTTTTATGAAGTAGGTTTTGAAGAACAAATTATTTTTTGTGTTGAAAGTGGTGTGATAGATGAATCAGGAAACGTATGAGCCACACTTGTGACTTGGGCACCGTTAATCCATTATCCATTTCAATTTGAATTGTTAATGGAATTAGCCAAAATGATAGGATCTAAAAATAAGTTCTTAGGAACAGAATCTTAGGTCTGTGTGATTATTATTCTTGAAAGAAAATAAAATTGTGGATGCTGAATATTAGGGCTGGTGTTAAATGCAGATAAAAATACAAAATTTTAAATTCAAAAAACTTGAAACTACTGCGACTGTATCCTACTCATTTGTATTTGTTTTTGTCATTTTATTGATAGGCAACTTCAGTCGGTATAGCAGAATTTTGAAAATCTGGATGGGCACTAGAGTAGATGACTTATTTGTTGTGTGTGTGTGTGTGTGTGTGTGTGTGTGTACATGCCAAAGTACATGTGTGGAGGTCAGAGGACAGCTTTCTGGAGTAGGTTCTTTCCTTCCATCCTGTGGGTTCCAGGGACTGAACTCAGGTCACCTGTCTTGGCTGCAAGTGTTTTTACCTGCTGAGCCATGTTGCTGAACCTTACATTAAGTCTTGTGTGTGTGTGTGTGTGTATGTACTCACCTGAGTGTACATGACAACTTGTAGGAGTCATTTTTCTCCTCCTACCATATTGTTCCCCGGGGATGAAACTCAAGTTCCATGAGATTTCATGAACTCCCAACCGTCTTACCCTCTTTGACCTCTACCTTGCTTCCTATTTCATGAAAACTGAGTCTCTCAGTTGTTTCTTGTAACACTCTTTCTTCTTTACAGAGTATGGACATCTTCTCAGATGGCTAGAGCTCAGCAGACTTAGCACTTGCTACACACTAGACTCTAAACCATGAAAAACTCTTGGATACAGTAGGTAGAAACCTGTGAGAGTTTGGAGTGTTAAAATAGGGGCTTCAGGATGGACCAAGGACACCCTCTTGAGTTAGCTTTGTCTGCCTTCTGATAGTGGATCACACTGTGAGCTCTCAGCTGTTTCTTTGCTCTACCATCTGATAGACTTTAACCCTGTAAAACTATGAGTATTTTAGTTTTCTATTGCCATGAAAAAACACCCTGATCAAGGCAACTTATAGAAGAAAGCATTTTACTTTTGACTTAAATTTTTATTATTTTATGTGTAAGGGTGTTTTGTCTGCATGTTTATCTGTGCACCACATGAATATATGGTTCCCAAGGAGACCAGAAGAAGACTTTGGGTCTTGAGCCACGTTGTGAGTGCTGGGAATTGAAACTAGGTCCTCTGCACCAGGTACAGAGGAACACTGGGAAAGACACGAGTCCTTTGAAACACCAAAGCCTGCCCATAGTTGATTTTTTTTTTTTTTAATTTTTTGGGGCCTGCCACCCAGCTCCCAAATAAATACATGGAGTATTATTCCTACTTATGAATGCCCAGTCTTGGTTTGGCTTGTTTCTAGTTAGTTTTTCTAATAAATTACCCTGTTTCTCATTAACTACAGTTTGCTTCTGTGCTTTTACCTTTATTCTATATATTTTTCTTTCCTTCTTATCCCATGGCTGGCTGTGTGGTTGGGTGGCTGGCCCCTGATGTCCTCTCCTCCTTTCCTCGCTCTTCCTGTTCTTCTCCCTTGAAACTAGATTTCTCTTCCTAGTTATTCTCTCTGCCTGGTAGCCCTGCCTATTTCTCTCTTCTTCAGCTCTTTATTAAGCTAATCAGATTGTTTTAGCCAGACAGAGAATCAACAGCTTTACAGAGTTAAGCAAATGTAACATAAAAGAATGCAGCACATCTTTGCATCGGTAAACAAATATTCCACAGCATAAATGAATGTAGCCCATCTTAAACTAATATTCCACAATACCTGACCCCAGTGACATACCTTCTTCGACAAGGCCATACCTCAAAATCCTTCCCAAACAGTTCTACCAACTGGTGACCAAGTGTTCAAACATATGAGCCTATGAGGACCATTCTTATTCAAGCCAGCCTTGGAACCAGGAAGGTGATATTTGCTTCCTCCAGTTTATTGTGCCATTTCTGTTATGAGAATAAGAGATCTTGAAAGTGTTCTCATCACTGTCCAGGAACCTGGGAAATCAGACCCATTTCTCTAGATTCTCCCCAATTTACTCTATTTTATTCTGTTCTGTAAAGGATTTTAACTTGGAGGAGTTTTTGGTTTGCTGGGGCTGCCATAATAGTACTGCAGACTAGATATAGAACTTAATTTCTACATAGCCCTGGAGGCAGGGAGGCCCAGGTCAAGGTACTGGCAAGGACTGGTTTTCTCTGAGAGCTCTTGCCTTGACTGCAGATGACGACGGCCTCCTTGCTCCCATTTCCTGCCGTTTCCTTGCTGCCGTTTCCTATGTGTATGCGTCCCCAGGGCTTCATCTTCTTAGATTCTGGGCATTTGGGATTGTGGGCTCTGTTGTACATGACTATTCTTCAAGTAAAACAAACGTCATCATCAGGAGTTTACCTGTGCCTGCTTAGAAAAGAGCATCCCAGCTGGGCTAGTTGAACTGTTCACATCCCCTCATAAATGGAGGAGGGTTCAGCCACTTATACAGCTGTTGTATGCAACTCTGTACTAATTGTTCAGGGTTTCAGGGAGGGACTAGAGTGTATAGGCTGGTGAAGACAGGGGAGAAGGGCTTCGTCTATGTGGCTGTGGGAAAGCTTTCATTTCTCCTGAGTAAAGACCTAGCTTGCCTTGGTTGGCTAAGGGGAGTGCCCACTCTCCTATAAGTAACTCATTACCTAATTGCTGTAAGGAAATCCAAAAAACTTACTGGCTTCCTAGGGGTAGATTTTTTTGTGTGTTTTCCCCTGGGCCCCATACTAGTAGCCTCATTTAGTCACTTCATTAAACTCCAAATATGACTATATTCTGAGATCCTGGAGGTTGAAACTTCAGCAATCATCCTGTATCTTAGAGGAAGCAATCATATACACAATGTAGTCTTTTTCCCCCTTCTTTCTACCAAAAAGACCCTTTGTTACAAGTACTGTATTTTTCTTTTTCTTTTTTTAGTAGACAAGAGTCTCACTATGCTGGGTAGTGGTGGCTGAGCACTTGGAAGGCAGAGACAAGCAGATCTCTGTGAGTTTGAGGCCATCCTGGTTTATAGAGCAAGTTCCAGGATAGCCAGGGCTACACAGAGAAACCGGTTTGAAAACTGAAGGAAAAGAAGAGTCTCACTATATACCAAGGCTGGTTCCAAGTGCTGGTATTTATATGTGTGCCCTCACGAAGCTTGAGATTAGATTCTTGTCATTTTGTCCCATTCAATGCAGCAGATGGTCCAGATCAAGCTCTTGATTGGGGAAAGGATCTATTTGAGTGTAGACAATGTCTTCCTCAAAAGCTATTGTTCTGTTATAATACACATACACAAAGGTTTGATTTTGAAACTAGGTGTGGTGGCATAGGCCTATAATCATGGCATGGGGAGGTAGAGGCTAGAGAGCCATGAGTTCAAGCCAACCTGGGTTACATAATGAAACTCTGTCTTGAGAAAAGAAAAAACACTCAGTTTTGAGGTTTGGAGCTGAACAATTAATTACTCCTTTTTCTCTTAACTGCCATAATCCTGACTGTGAATATATAAATCCCATACTTGTGAGGCAGAGGCAGGAGGATCTCTGAGTTCAAGGTCAGCCTGATCGACAGAGAGTTTTAGGATAGCCAAGGCTACACAGAGAAACCCTGTCCTGAAAAACAAAACAAACTATATGTATGTATTTATGCATGTATATGTATACATATACATACATATATATAATGTGTATATATACATGTATATAATTATATATATAGCTTTAGTTGAATGAAGAAAAGACAAAGAATTGAGAGCATATTATATTTTTCCTTCAAAAATTATCTTCACTCTGTGTACAACACAGTGTATAGGTATATAACATCCACACCCACCAAACATGTATATAAAAGCCCTGGCACACTGCAGATATTCACTTAGAAACCAAATCTGGGCAGTATGTGTGCCCTTTGCCACACTGCATTGCATATCTACTATCTGTATAATCAGGCAAATTATTTCTCTGTGCTTCAGTTATTCTCATCTATAAAAGAAAGATGGCAATCTTCCTTATTGTTTAGAAGTTTAAATAAACAAATTAAATTCATTAAAATTCTTTTTTGTTAAAGGTGTGCATCACCATTGCTCATACATTTTAAAATAAGGCTGGAGAGATACCTCTTTGGTTAAGAGCACCGGCTGCTCTTCTAAAGGACTGGGGTCTGATTCTCAGAACCCATTGGTGCTCACAACCATATGTAATTCCAGTTCCATGGGATCTGAAGCCTTCTGGCTTCCACAAACACCAGGCACATACATAGTACACAGGTATACATGCAGACAAAACTTTATACACATAAAATAAAAATAAGTAAATCTTAAAAGAAAATCTT